TGGGGGCAGTTCCTGTGTTGAGTATCTGCCCCCTGGTGATCAGTGCATGTCATAGTGACTGGTCGTTCCACTGGTCGTTTGGCTTTTCAGTCGATTTGCGTATTAGGCTTTTATTATATAGGATTTTTTTATGTCAGTATTTGGAACCTTTGCTCTAATGGAGCTATGGAGAAATATTTTCACAGCTAGCTACTTTCCTTAAAATAGTCAGCTCAAAGACTTTTACCACACATTAAGTCTGGAACCAAGTGTTTGCAGACTTTAGAGATACTAATCAGGACAGGAATTTGCTCATAGTTTTTTTTAAAACTATAGTCCGGCCCTCCAACGGTCTGACGGACAGTGAACTGGCCCCCTGTTTAAAAAGTTTGAGGACCCCTGATCTACACCATGGAATACTAGGCAACTGTAAAAAAGAAGGACCTCTTACACTTTGAGACAGCATGGAGGGCCCTGGAGAGTATTATGCTAAGTGAAATAAGCCAGTCAGAAAAAGACAAGTACCACAAAATTTTACTCATATGTGAATTCTAATGAACAAAATAAACTGATGAACAAAATAGATCTAGAGACATAGAAGCATGGAACAGACTGTCAAATCTCAGAGGGAATGTGGGGGTGGGTGGGTAGGAGGGAAGAAGTCAACCAAAGTACTTGTATGCATATATATACATAACCCATGGACACAGACAATAGTGTAGTGATGGCCTTGGGCAGGGAGCAGGAGTTGGCTAGATGGGGTCAATGGGGGAAAAAAGGGTGACATATGTAATACTTTCAACAATAAAGGTTAAAAAAAGAAAAAATCAGTAACAGTCATATTCTAATAAAACCACGTGTCACTGAAAATGAAGCTATTTGAAGTTTAACAAAGAGCAACACAAAGAAAATCTGAAATTCTTTATAGACAATGTACATATATCATGAGCATACAGCTATAAGATGAGATCTCTCAAGACCCTGTAAAGGCTCTAAATGGGAATAGGGTTAGGAGTTGACCCATAGAAAGACTTTCATGTAGTCATAAAACCCGTGACTTTATATGGAAATTCCTGTAAGCTAATCAGATTCTCAAGAGTATGCTCATCGTGGGTAAAGAGCCAATGCTCTAAAGCAGAGATTTTTCAACTGGTGTGCCGAATGCATTTTAAAACATGCAATACCTGACTATTTAGTTAGGGACACTGACATATTTTCCCTGAAATTGTTAAATAAAAAAATGCCCCCTCTTTTCCCTTAGATTGTCAAATAAAATAAAGTAAAAAGAACATCCAACATAACAATAGCCGCTGAGCGTGAATTAATCAAAAGTATACCTAATATCTATTTTTTGTTAGATCGGCAAAAAATATTTTTGGTGTGCCACACAATTTTAGTAATTAGTTTATGCATGTCATGAGATAAAAAAAAAAAAAGGTTGAAAATCACTGCTCTAAAGCTGTGGTCGCCAACTGGTGGTCCACGGACCACCGATGGTCCATGAGGTTGGCGACCGCTGCTCTAAAGAATGTCAGATCTTTTTCTCTTTTTACCTCAGAGGCCGTGCTTTTAAATATTACTATTAGCTTCTTCACAAATCACTTATAATTGCCCAATTTTCTCTTTCCACATTTTACTGTAAGATTCATCCCTGAATCAAATATTGCTTTCTAAAATGTATACTTAAACTTTCTGATTTTAAATTATTATTTCATCAATTCATTTTTGGAAGAAGAAAGGTCACCATCATCATTACTGCATATGGGCATATCTGCAATTAGACTAAAAGGTACTTTTTTACCTATCTACTTTTCTATCTCATGAGTATATAGATACAAATTTCATTTAAGAGTAAATTTAAGCGATGTCTAGAAATACATCTTTTACCAATATTACTTTTAACATTCTTAAAGGAAAAGGAATTCATCATAACCTGACAACATGCTTGCAATCTTCAAAAAGAGTACCCATTTATTTAAAAACATTGAAAAGATGGCATATTACCCTTAGAGAACTACTCAATATTCTCCCATTTTATTTTTTATTCATTTAATTTTTTCTTTATTAAGGTATTACATATGTGTCCTTATCCCCCCATTGCCCTCCCACTCCCCCACTAATGCCTTCACCCCCTGTTGTCTGTGTCCATTGGTTAGGGCATATTACCAGAGAACTACTCAATATTCTCCCATTTTATTTTTTATTCATTTAATTTTTTCTTTATTAAGGTATTACATATGTGTCCTTCTTACCCCATTGCCCTCCCACTCCCCCACTAATGCCTTCACCCCCTGTTGTCTGTGTCCATTGGTTAGGCTTATATGCATGCATACAAGTCCTTTGGTTGATTTCTCCCCCTTACCCCCACCCTCCCCTACCTTCCCTCTCAGGTTTGACATTCTGATGGATGATTCTCTATCTCTGGATCTGTTTTTGTTCATCAGTTTATGTTGTTCATTATATTCCATAAATGAGTGAGATCATGTGATATTTATCTTTCTCTGACTGGCTTATTTCACTTAGCATAATGCTCTCCAGTTCCATCCATGCTGTTGCAAATGGTAAGAACTCCTTCTTTTTTACCGCAGCATAGTATTCCATTGTGCAGATGTACCACAGTTTTGTAATCCACTCATCTGCTGATGGGCACTTAGGCTGTTTCCAAATCTTAGCTATGGT